AGCAGGATGAGGCAGGCCAGGCAGAAAGAAAGCCGATGTTATCCTTTAGGAGGAGGAGAGAGTCTGATCAAAAGCCCTCTGGACAGGAAAACCCTTGTCACTATTTGCAGATCTAGACTAAATCTCAATTATACTTGGTATTCCCTGAAGGTTCTTGTGTGAGGCTCTGTCACCATCTGAGAATGGGCAGACCCCGTGACCTTCAGGACAGCATCCAAACCCCCGGCCTGTCCCTCCAGCCCTCCACCCACCCAGCCCCAACCTCCTTGCCAGGACACCTGCTGCCACTCTTCAGGCAACCCAAAGTGGAGACAAACAAAGCTGCTCCTGAAAACAACTTGTCTTTGTTTCAGTAGGCACTCTCCTGGGATGACTTCTCCCCTGCCATCCCCCTTTCTTGGCTTCCTCCCTGTTGTTCCTCCCTCCCTCACCCCAGCTTTAGGTCCATGAACCGGTGCCATAGGCCCTGCATCCAAAACGCCTCTTGGATTTCTCTTCTTGACTCTGCCTCCAATTCTAACCCAAGCTGCCATCTTGCCCTGTCTGGAGGATGGAAGTTGTCTTCTCTGACATGCTCCCTTCCAGTGCCCAGCTTCTCCACCGCCCTGTCGCCACCAATCTCTGTGCCACCTCTAAAACCCCCACTTCACATGCACACTTCTGACCCTGGATCCCCCATTCTCCAGAGCCCTCACTCCAACAGCCCTCTGATCCTCCTGCCGTCCAAATGTCCTCACTTTCTTTTCATCCAGCTTCTCTTTGAGGCCGCAGCATTAGCCCTTTCCCTGAAAACACTTCTCTTGCCTTTTTATGCTTCAGTCACATTTGCCTAGAAAAACCCAGCCCCGATTAAGCCCTGCAAGTTTCCTACCCTGTGCCCGGACCCAAGTCCAACCAAGTAGACTTGGGGAAGACATAGTTGTGCTAACTCGTCCCATTTTGTACCCATGACCACCACCAAATGGGCATTGAGTCCTCCCAACGATGCTGTCATACTTTCCTGCAGGTCTGCTCTCCATTCTCCCAAATGACTACCACATGCCCTTTTCTTTCCCTGAAGCTTCAGCATCCCTGTGAAAGATGCTGGGGTTCTCTCCTCAACCTTTTCCATTATGCTTCAGCTGTGAGGTTTGGGTGAGAAGAATGGCCCCACCTTCTAGCCCAGGACTCATTCCTCATTCCTCTCACCACAGAGGTTGACTCAGGTAACCTAGACTTTTGCCGACTGTCTCACAGTACTCCCTGGGCCAAAGTGACCAGGTCCTGCCGCATCGGTTTTCCTTTGCTGAGCTGATCCTCGCGGCACATGTGCATGCCTTGTGCAGATTTTAAAACAGTGTCCCCCTCCAATATCTCTCCAGCTGCTGGCTCGCTTCAGGCCCCCACACAAAGTCAAATATCTCCAAAGAGTTGTCCCCAGCCACTGCATCCTCACCTCACCTCCTTGTCTTCACTCATGTCAACCTGGCATCTGTCCTTCCATTCCACCTGAAGCACTCTTAGAAAGGTATCCACACCTTTAACCATCTGACAGCCACTCCAACCCCACTCTTCTGTTGTTGTCTTACCTGACCTCATGGCAGCCTTTTACACAGCTGGCCACTCCCTTCTCCTCAAAAGGGAAGACATTCCCTTGGCTTCAGAGATGCCCCCACTCTGGGGCTTCCTCCACCCTCCCTGGATGCATCCTCATCACTCCTGCTCCTCTGCCTGACCTCTGACTCCGAGATCTGGGACGTGGCCGTCAGCTTGTTCTCCTCCCAGGGCCCTGGGCACATCCCATGGCTTTGATTCCATCGGGATAATGGTTACCACCCCCCCTCCCATGTCTCTCCAGCCCACTGGGCCCTGGGCTTGGGACTCCTACCACTTCCTCAGCCTCCCAGGCGGAGGTCCAACAGGCATCTCAAACGCACATCAAAAGCAGGGCTTGAGTACCGCCTCTCCTGCTCACACAGACATTTCTTCCCATCTCAGAAAGGGGTGCCCCCAGCCAGTCAGATGCTGAAGCCACCTTGCTCCTCTCTTTCACTGCCCAGCACCATCACCAAGTCCTATCACACTCATCCCCAAAGGGTCCCCTCAGGTCCCCTCTCCATGTTCACCACCCTGTCCACCACCACCATTATCACCTATCTGGATGCAACTAACATCCACAGTGGAAACAGTTCTGCAGTTCCTCAAAAGTTAAACACGGAATAACAGTGCATATGACCCAGCAAGTCCACTCCTAGGTATAGACTCCAAAGAGCTGAAAACAGGCGTTCAAACAAAAGTTCGTAAGGAATGTTCACGGCAGCACTATTCACAAGAGTTACAATGTGGAAACCAGCCTTGCTGGTCCCTTTGCTGGGAATTCTCTGTCCAGATCTTCTCGTGGCTGACTTCTGCTGATCCTCTGGGTCTCTGTCCAAACCTGAGAGGCCTCCCTGACCCTGGCCCAGCTCTATTACACCTTCCTGTTTGTTTCCCTCACAGATTAGCACTACTTGCAATGACTTGTTCCCTGTGCACTGTCTTCTCCTGTAACCAGAAGGTCACTGCCCTCAGGCTAGGCACCCTTCCTGCCTTGTCCACTTGTTCAAGGAACACAGAGGTGCTCGGCAGATGGAACTCATTGCACCTCCGATCCCAAGGGTCCCAACACCCTTCCTACCAAAAGCCTCCCCAGTTTCTCCACCAGGTTGCGTCCATTTCAAGAGCAAGCACCTACAGCCTGACAGCCCCTTACTGCCCCCTCTGTGACTAGCGCTTTTTCCATGAGCACAGGCAGGGTCCCCGTTCCTGATACACTTCCCACTCTGCCACAATCCTGCAGGCACTGAGCAGCAGCCGGGGAGGAAGCGAAGGGAAAAGTCCAAAGCAATGGTCCTCTGGAGAGCTCACAGCAACTGTCACCCCCAGGCCTTGGGCAAAGCACTTTATACACCAGGACGTTATGGGGGAGAAACTGAGGTTTAGCGAGATCTGTAAGTTGCCTTTGTGTGGAGAACTGCAGAGAAGACCACCGGAACCCTAATCGCTAAGCAACACTGCCTAAGAGCACAGGATCCTCAATGTCTGCTTGCAGCAAATACAATGTATCCCCCCCTACTTCTGATTCAGGAAGCGTTGATGTTTCTCCTCAGCTGCAGCATCCATGTAGGTCCGTGACCAGCTAAGAGCCCCCAGCTCAAGGGTGTTCTCGGCCCAGGGGTTCACTGCACAGTGGCTCCTGCCCTTATTAGCAGCTCCTAGCCACAGGGAGAGGCAACTGGGGCTTGGCACCACAGTGACAGCCCTGAGATTTCCCTCTGGCCCAGTCAAGGGCAGCGACAGGGAATGGAGGACATGGTAGTGCTCCCCTTAAGACAGACGGGCAGCACTAACCTCTGTGAACACACCAGGAGCAGCCTGGGGATGTCAGCTGGTACCTGGGCTTCCACGCTGGTGACATTCCGAGGAATACACACGTCTTCTCTCCTGGCCACACTCAGGCTGCCGACTCAGGTAGATTTAACCAAAGTTGTCACACATTTGCTCCTCCTAATGTGGGCACCGAGGTTCTAGCACCTTGCCCAGGCCAGGTTCTCCCATGCACCCACGCGCTGGCAGAGTCTGCTCCTCTTCCCATGCCCACTCAGGCTGCCTGCAGACCCGGCCTTCACAATCTCTCCCTCCAGGGGCTCGCAGGATGGGCCTTTGGGCTCACATCACTTAAATGTTTTTTTTTTTTTTTTGAGTTGGAGTCTCACTATGTTGCCCAGACTGGAGTGCAGTGGCCGCTCCTGGCCACTGCAGCCTCGACTTGCTGGGCTCCGGCGATCCTTCCACCCCAGCCTTCCGAGTAGCTGGAACTGCAGGGCGTGCTACCACGCCCGGCTCATTTTTTGATTTATGGTAGAGATGAGGTCTCGCCTTCCCAAGCGGGTCTCGAACCCACGGGCTCAGGCAATCCACTCAACTCAGCCTCCCAAAGGCGCGGGATTACAGGCTGAGCCACCGAGCCCGGCTAAATGTTAATATTAACAATGAATACGATTGTTATTTTCACATAATCATATTATTCATAATAAAATCCTTACTAGTCGCCAGTGTCTGACACTTGGTGTTGTATGTATTATCTCTCCCAGTCCTATCCACGATTCTGGAAGAAATCATTATTCCCACTCCATAGATGCAGAACCTGAGACTTAGACAGGGCCAGTGACTTGTCCAGGGTCACCCAGCTACCACGTGAAGGCAAGAGTAGGAGCTGAAGTCAGGTTTACCCCAGATCTTTCTTCCACTCCATATCCTCTCCTTGTTAACTCTGGAATTAGACATGCTGGCCTATTGTCCCCATGAGTCACTGAAATGTCCCCTACACAACAGGGGGCTCCGACCACCCAGGGTGAGCAATGATGGCAGTGATTGGAGAGGCCAGATGGTGAGATGGGGGACACGGAAAAGTGACATGTGACAGGGGCCTAGGCACACAGGCATGCACACTGCTAGCTACACTTACCACCTGAGGGAGGGCAAGAGAGCCCAGAGAGGGGTCCCGGAGCAGACAGAGGAAAGAAGAAGGAGTTATTGAGCTGCAAGAAGCACTGAGACGGCCCACATCTGGGCCAGACCCTGCCTCACAGCTGGGGCCCCCACACCAGTCACTTCCCCTAATGGCCTGGTGGGGGTTGGGGAGACAGGGAGGGGCTGCCCTGGACATGGCATTTCAACCCAGCTGCATCCGGGCTTGTGGGACAGGGGTGGAAAGAGCATGTGACTTTTTAGCAATGCCTGGAAAGGACTTGACTAGGGTTGCATATCTCATCAAGCTCATCCTAAGCTCCCATGCCTCAACTGTTCTCACTGCCCCACCTAGGGGTGGGGGCCCAAGGAGATCTCAGGTCGCTGATATGAGGTAGGCCAAATCTAGTAACTCAACTTCCAGGTCTGCTAGAAGAAGCCGGAGGACTCTGCACCAAGGGTGGGCCTCGGGCAGCGAGAAGACATGCCCTCCCCCCAACTCCCTAACTCACATGTCCGTGCAGGTCCGTGTTGAGAAGCATCAGGGCACAGGTGAGCGTGTGGATCCCATCTGAACCAGAAACAGAGGCGCTCTCAGTGTGAGGATTCAGCCCACCTCAGCCACCCATTCATCCCCTGAGGGAGCCACCTGGAGGCCTTGGACACAGGAAGAGGCCAGCCACCTGCCAAACACACTTCGGGCCCTGGCCTGCACGACGCTCCCTGTCCACCCCCCCCTCAGTACCAGAGTCACTTGCCTGCCCCAGGTAAGGGCCACCCCTCTCTCTGAGGGAACCTTACCACCCTGGGCCTACTCTAGCCAGATTCCTACCTCCTGAAGCCAAACTCGCCTTGAACCTCAGATCCAGGAATGGCTCTGGGTCCTGAACCATGTCCCTGCATTGGCTTGTGTCTTTCCCAGTACCATACCCAGCCCCCCAGTTCCTGGGACTTGAGCCCACCCATTGGGCAAGTCCTAAGGACCTCCACCATACCAGGACCCCCACCACCCCAAGAACCAGCATTGTGACAGGGGCCAAGAAGAAAGAAAAGCCAAAGAACTTCTCCCTGGGGTGGAGGACTTCCAGCCACTTCCAGGAAAGACAATGGGCAGAACATGTGCCATTGTTTAGCCAATTGATATTTATTGAGCACCTACTATATGCCAGAGAGGACAAATCATCTGGGCCCGTTGGCAGGACAGAAGTCCCAGGTGGGCCAAGGGTGAGTAAGGTGGCATGAGGCAGGTGACTGTACCTTCCGAGGTGCTGTCATCAGGGTTGCACTGGCAGTACCGACGGGAGAAGTGCGTAAGGACCCGCTCACGCTCTTGCGTCTCCCCCATTAGCGGGAAGGCCTTCAGGAACATTCTGGAATGCAATTCAAGGCTGCTGAGGGCAGTCTGGGTCGTCACTCTGAGTCGGAGCCCCCCCACACACACTCCTGCCCCAGGGACCCAGGCCTCCTGTACCCCAGCATCTGGGTCTGGGCATCCCCTCAGGATGACCTCTGGAGTGCTGAGACCAGGGGCCCTGGCAGACCTTAGAGTTTCAGCCCTCATCGCCCTCCATGGCCCTTTCGGAAGGAGGCAGGGGACAAAGACATGAGCAGTTAGGTGCTGGCAGCAGCTCTTCCTTAGGGTGGACACCCACGCCCTGCTCCCTCCTCATGGCAGGACTGGGCCTGTGCTCACCTGCCTCAGAATGCTCCTCCTCAGCCACTCCCACTTCTCCATGGGCCACCAGCTGAGCCCCAGGCCCAACTCATCCCCGGCGCCCTCTTCTCCCCTCAACCCCAAGTCTGAGCTGCCACCCAGTCCCAATGGCTTGTTCTTCACCCGCCATCTCAATTCCCCTGCCGTCGCCACCCTGCCATATATCCAGGACACATGCAGCAGCCCTACGGGCCACCCTACCCCTCCCAGCACCTCCTCCCTGCAGACACCAGGCAGTCTTTCTAAACACACATGCAGGCAAGACTCGCTGCTGCCGAAAACCCACCACTGGCTCCCAGAACCCTCAGAATAACATCCAAGCTTCTCACAAGCTCATGGTCCTGGCTCCCCGTGCCCCTCCAACTTTGGGCCCACATGCTGCCTCCACAACCCACATGGAACAGGCATTTCACCGACTCGGAGCAGGCTGGGGCCACCCGGCACACGCCCCTTCACTGCTGGGCAGCTCTGGATCCCCCTTAAGGTCCAATTCACTCACCTCTCAAGGCCCCTGACAACCGATCCCAAGAACAGAGGGGCTGGGAGATGGGGCTGAGGTCCCTCACCTCGGGCCTGGGCACCAACCTTCCCTCAGGTAAGGAAACTGTAGGCCAAGCCAGCTTGTGCCTCCACCAGCCCCTATCCATCCACCCCAGCTCATTTCGTTTGGACCCAGAGTGGCTGTAACGCCCACTTTGCTTTCCCCTCTCTCGTACCACCTCCTAAGGCCCCCTGGGACCTGCAAGCCACATCTTGGCCAGCCCTTGCCATCGAGGCTTCCCAGGGCCCCCAAAACTGCAGACCACGCCCTTGAACTTCAATCTCAACTACTGTACAGAAACGCTCTCCTGTCTGACACCTAGTTCTCCTCTCCCTGTCCCTCCTGCCCCCTGTTCTTTCCCCCCAGCTGCCCCCTCCCCACTGGACCCTCTCTCTTCTCCTCACCCTCCGCCAGAACTTTCTCAAATCCATCCCCTCCCAGCCGTAGCCTGCCCTACCTGTGAGCCATCCACCCCAGCTCCTATTCCTCTGCAAAACTCCCCCTCCCTGGGGCCTCTTCACCAAGTCCCAACCCAGCACCACTACCACCAAACTCTCGGGCTGTCCCTAGGTTCAGCCTCATGCCGCCCACCTTCCCTGCACCACCTTCCCCGCACCACCAGCCCTTTTACTCTACCCTCTGTGCAGCCTCCAGCACCGACCTCTCCCCTCGGGCACCTCTGCTCAACCTCAGGTTCTCCCACCAGCCCTTCTTCCAAAGCCTGCAGCCTCTGGACCAAAGACCCCAGCACACCGGGGCCAGAGCTGCCTCCCAAAACACTGTTTCACAGCCAATGCCTTCTGTGGCTCCTCCGTGCCTGTGCCGTCTGGCCTCACTGATAAGCTGGCATACAAGGCCCTCAATCCAGCACCCATGGCTCTGATCGTGAGCTGACTCCCCCGAACCCCCTCCCTGACCAATTTTTCTCATTGTGGCACAACCTTCAAGACCCATCACACCAACACTTCCACTGAGAACAAGGAGAACAACATGCTTTCTTAGGCTCTCAGAAAACTGCTGAGGTGACGAAGACCAAAAGAACCAAGATTCTAGAGAGGAGAGGGGAGGACTGAGGGGAAGCGGGCAGATTTGCAGTTGCTTTCTTCCTGGGAGAAAGCTGACTATGGGCACAGGAGAGGGGCAGGACACTGAATGGATCCACGGGGCTGGAGAGACAGACCTAGAACTGAGGGGCTGTAAACACATGGCCAGTATTCCCTTTGAGAGATTTGCCAAATTTTGGAGAGATGAAGGGCAGGAGACGGAAAGGCTAAGCAGAATGCTTCTGGGAAGTTTTGGCAGTGTTGCTGCACTGACAAGACAAAATGAGGCTTCAGAGCCCACCGAGGGGACCACCCCAGCAAAAACACACAGTTCCCCCTGGAAAACTCTGAAAGACTCCCCCCTATGGTCAGAGTGAACCCTGAGCCACACCAAACTATGGCTCAGCCCTGCCTCCACTCAGCCCTGGTTGGATGAGGACCACCTCCCATAACCCCTTCCAATCGCCTACCAAGGGGTAAGAAGGAACATACAATGATCTAGAACCACCACAAATCATACAAAGTGTGCAGCATCTAATAAAAAAATTACAAAGCATGCAGAGAGATAGGATTGGTGATAGAAACCCAAGAGAAAAGAGAGACAATAGAAACAGATATGGATGATTTCGATGATACAGACATTATCATAGATATGATGATACAGAGTGAGGAGCAAGGACTTTATAACTAGTGGGGTCAAGAAAAGAGAGGGACAGATGGGGAAAATAGGTGAAAAGATGAGAAATTCTCCCCAGGAAATTGTCATTTATTTAAAAAAATTTTTTAACAAAATAGAAATTCAGCCGGGCTCGGTGGCTCAGTCTGTAATCCCGTGCCTTTGGGAGACTGAGGTGAGTGGATTGCCCGAACCCGCGGGTTCGAGACCCGCCTGGGCAGCCAGACCTCATCTCTACAATAAAATCAAAAAATTAGCCAGGCGTGGTAGCGCGCGCTTGTAGTTCCAGCTACTCGGAGGGCTGAGGCGGAAGGATCGCCGGAGGCCAGCAGGTCGAGGCTGTGGTGGCCAGGAGCAGCCACTGCACTCCAGTCTGGGCGACAGAGTGAGACTCCAACTCAAAAAAAAAAAAAAAATAGAAATTCTAGAACTGAAAACGATGACAATAGAAGGTAGAAACCCAGTAAATGCGTTTAAAGGTATATGAGACACAGAAAAAGGGTAAGTGAAGGGAAAGCAGGACCACAGAAAATATCCCGGTGGAAGCAGAGAAAAAAGAATGCAAAGTACATTAGTTAAACATATGAGAGACACATGGGGCACAGTAAAAGGCTTAACATACACGGACCCCTGACCCCTTAGCTCAGAGACTGCATCTCTCTCTCCTAGAGCCTGGCCTGGTGTCTCCCAGCTGGCCCTGTCACCAGAGCCCACTGGGCTGGGTCTGCCCGCCCCACCCCCTCCTACCTGAGACTTGCTCCTGGCCCTCCTGAGCACCACTTCCTGGGTCCCAACACCGGCAGCACCTGAGACCAAACCCCACTGTCCCATCTTCTCCCTTGACGATTCTGGGAGGTCCCTTCACCTCTATGGCATAGTTAGTTCATTGAAAAATAGGGTTGATGGTGCCTGCCTCACAGGGGTGCTGTGAGGGTAGCATAAGTGAGCTGGGCAGAGACCTACAGAGCCTGGCAGGCAGAAGTGCTCCGTACAGGCAAGGCCTTAACCTCCCCTCCTCTTCTCAACCGTCACGGCTTTCCACCTTTGCATCTTAGTATCTACCATGCAGGTGCAGAGGCTGAGTTGCTGGACGGCAGCTGCTTCCCCACAGCCTCACCAGAGGGGTCAAGAGACCTGCCCATGGTTGCACAGCAAGCGTATGGTAGAGCTGGCATGAGAATCCAGATGTGCAGCCTATAACATCTGTGTGCAGTGCCCTGTCCCAGCCCCACTGACCTGAGCGCTTGGTCCAGAGTCAGGCCCGAGAAGTCAAAGAAACTGAGGTACTCCCCGGCCACCAGCCTGCTGAACTCGTTGCTACCAGAAGAGAAGGACGTCAGTTAGAAGCAGGTCCCACCCAAAGACAACAGAATTGCAAGGCGTACTTGGGGAGTGAGCCTCAGGGTAACCTGACCCACTACCCAGACCTGCCCAACCCCTGGGCTGCCTCCCCCTGCAGGCCAGTCAAGCTCTGGCAGATCAACCTTGATGAGGGGCAGGGAAGTGGTCAGGAAGGTTTCCTGGGGGAGGTGATGTCTCAGTCAACAAAGGAAAGTAAGAGCAAGGTAAAGGGAGTAGAGGAAGGGGTGATACAGCAACCCTGACAGAGGAAACTACACAACATGTCCAAGAAGCTGCCAGCCGGGCCACGTGGCTCAAATGGAGAGCACAGGATAGGGGCAGCAGGAGCTGAGGCAGGGAACAGGGCCTGCGGGCCAAGGGAAGGATCGGGGCTTGGTGCTGAAGAACCTGAAGCAGGATGGCCAGCTCTGTATATTGGAACACTCTACCTGCTCCCACCGGGATGTTGCGGTCGTTGTCTAGAGAGAGACAGGAGGGAGAGGTGGAGAGGAGAAAAACTGGGGAGGCAGAATCCACAGGATGTAGACATGGAATGGCTGAGGGTGTGGCCAAGATGGTGGCTCCTGGGGGAGCTATCAGAACTCAGGACAGTGTCAGGAGGGAGGTGTTCCTGGAGAGTCAGCAGCTGGTCACTAGCAACTCAGGGTGGGGGGTGAGCCTACACAGAGGAGGGTGCACAGACAGGCTAGCTTGAGTCAGGATGTGGACTGAGGAGGGAGAGCCAGTGAAGGGGGCTGAAAAGCAGCAGCCAGAGGGATGGGGTGTGGGGTCCTGTGGGCCCACGAGGAAAGCTTTCAAGAAGACTGGCGTGAAGAAATCCTGTTGAAAACTACAGCACATTCCTCCTGATGCTCAGGAGGCCTGGAGCTCCCCTCCCCTTCACGGGACCCCTGGGAAGTAGGGAAACAAGAACAACAACACCGTGAGGACACCACGTCCGACATGGAAACATCTTCAGGACACATGGCTTCATTTCTTCCACAAACGCATGGCATCAAAAAGGGAGGAGGAAGGTTGACTGCTGTTCATTAAAAGAGACTTCAGAGACATAACAGTCAATGCAATGTGTGGGCCCTGTTTGAATCTTGATTTGAACAAACGAACATTTTTGAGACAATCAGATAGATTTAAACACAGACTGAATGTTGGCGATATTGAGGAGCTTTTGTTGACTTTGTTAGGTATTATAATAGGTTTACTTATTTATTTTTGAGTTGGAGTCTCACTCTGTCACCCAGACTGGAGTGCAGTGGCCGCTCCCGGCCATCGCAGCCTCGACCTGCTGGGCTCCGGCGATCCTTCCACCTCAACCTTCCAAGTAGCTGGAACTACAGGCGCGCTCTACCATGCCCGGCTAATTTTTTGATTTATTGTAGAGATGAGGTCTCGCCAAGTTGCCCGGGCGGGTCTCGAACCCGCGGGCTCAGGCAATCCACTCACCTCAGCCTCCCAAAGTGCTGGGATTACAGGCTGAGCCACCGAGCCCGGCTTATAATAGGTTTATTATGTGGAACAATCCTTATCAGTTAGAAATACCTAACAAGGTATGTGTGCGCCAAATGATTGAGGTCTGAAACACGAGTCAAGACATCCCAGCAAATGAAAAAGAAGCTGTGAGTCATAAATGCAATGAAGATGGAGAAATGGAGACTTTGAAGCTGAGGAATGGGTGCATGGAGGTTTGATAATTCCATCCTCTACTTTTGTATATGTTTGAAATTTTCATAATAAGAAATGGAATTAAAGAAAAAGAGCCAGGCGTGGTGGCTCATGCCTATAATCCCAGCACTTTGGGAGGCGGAGGCAAGAGGACTGCCTGAGCCCGGGGGTTTGAGACCAGCCTGGGCAGGAAACCCAAGAATTTTGGCTGCAAAAGGGTTGGAGGAGGATGGGGCTGGGGAAGAATTTTTGTTTCCAGAGAGGAGACACAATTCATTGCTGGGAAGCTGTTCGTAGAGGGAGTGGCTGACCGCAATGAAGGTTCCTGAGAGAATGGCATTAGGTTGGGGAATGAGGTTATAGGCCAGCAGGAGAGGTGGGGGCATCTGACTTGTGACTCCTGGGCTGAGATCATTGTAGGGGGCCCGGTGCAGGGGCAACATGGAGGCTGTGGAGGGTGGAACAGGCAGGAGAGAGAAGAGGAGGGTTCAGGAAGAGTTGAATCGCCCTCAGCCTCCTGAGGCCTAAAGCCGCCATGTCAGCTCTGAGTCACGGTCGAGGGTCTGGAAGTCTCTCCAGCCTTGTGTGGGACCCTGGGAGCCCAGGGCCTGCTTCTGCTGGGCTCAGAGCCTTCATCTGGGTCCTGAGACCCCTTAGGTGGAAGGCCAAAGGAGCGGATACACTGATGGTCAGTGTGTCGCATGCCGCAGACTTCCTCCACTTCAGTTACCCCTGTCCGCCACCCCTTCGGGACCCTTATCTGGTGAGCTAGTCCCCTTTGCACACAGGCTAAAGGCTAGGGCTTCTGCCTTAGGGGCATCAGCCCCTTCAGCTGGTCCCAATAGACAGTAGAGCCTAATGAGGGCCGGGAGCCCCTTCCTGAGCTCTGGGTCCCAGATGTGTGCCCCCAGACCAGCTTTTCCTCTCTCCCTGGCCCCAGCAGCTGAGCCTAGCTCCTGCCCAGGTGCTCCATCCACACCACCATCCATTGTGACCCCATAAGCACATCCCACATCCCACACCCCCAGCCCTGAGGGGCCGTCCTGCACCCCCCCTCCAGAGCCTCAGCCCTAGCCCAAGCAGCCCAGAAAGGAAACAGATTTAGGGCGAGGCTAGGAATGAGGACAGTGGTGGGAGGAGGTGTCCTTGAGGGACTGTTGGGAGCCCCTCCAGCACCAGCATCCCTGAAGGAAGCCACCCCACCCCCTCCAGGCTGAAGGAGACACAAGATCTCCCTGGGGTGGCACAGAAGACGGACGGCACTCACTTCTTGCCCAGCTGCCTGGCCACATCGCAGCGCTGGAAGCCCTCGAGGTGGTAGAGGCGGCGTGCCAGCCGGCGAGCAGCCTCACTGACCCCCTGGCACCCGTTGGCCAGCGGGTCTGTGCTACCAGGTTCCAGCCCCTCCGAGCTGCTCAGCTCTGAGTCTGAGTCTGACAGGCCATCCTTCAGGCTGGGGTCACTGCAGATAGAAGGCATGGGGAGGAGGAGGATCAGAGGCCCGAGGTCAGAGGCCCCCGGGGGAGGCTAGGAGGTCTTCCCAGGCCTCTGAAACCCACGAGAGGGCCAGAGCTGGGAAAGAAGCCCCGCTGCACCAGAGGGAAATCAAGGCAGACTTTTGGAAGAGCCTCTCCAGTGAAATAACAGCACAGCTCCTCGGCCCCAGCTGCACTGAGGAGACCTGGAACCTCAGGGTGCGGGGTGGGAAGTCTGGATGTAGAGGATAGACATGGTGACCCCGGAGAGGGCCTGCTGACTCTGGACACTGGGTTGCCCTCACTTGCTTTGTCTCCTCTGGGTCTCAGTTTCCCGATCTGCTCGACAGTTCTCCCAGCTCTCAGCCTGGGCCCTGCCTCACCTGGCTGAGTTCAGCAACTTGTCCGTGTCCTCCTCGTCATCATCCTCGTCCCCGCCTGGGCCCTGAGATCCATCTTCATGGAATCCGTTGGGCACAGCCATGAGGGACAGGTGGCTCAGGACGTTCTCTGAGCGACTGCTGGAGATGGAGTGCCGCAGGGGGCTGCCCAGCTCCCCATCACCACCAGCTGCCCCGATATCCCCCTCAGGCCCTGTGTCCCCAATGCCCAACCCAGCCCCCGGCTCGGGGCTGTCACGGGCCCGCTGCTGGATGAGGGGCGTGAGGGGCGCCTCAAAGCTGATGCAGCTGTCGCTCTCATCCGTGAGGCTCAGCACATCCAGGGAGTCGAGGCTGCTGTACTGGGTGCCCCGCAGCAGCTCTGACTCCAGAATTTTCTCGAATGTGGCGCTGAAGCCATCCCGCACATCGGGCTCCCCAGGACCAGCCAACCTGTGGGATACACGGATCCAGTCACCATCCTGCCAAGGTCTCCCAGTACAGATGCTGGTGACTGCACCAGTCTGCATCTGCCTGAGGGAGGGGGCAGGCAGGTATTGTGTCCTGTTTATTCATTCCTTCAGCTAATACTCACTGAGCACCGGGCACCAGGCACTGGGCTGGGTGCTAGGGACACAGCAACGAGAAAGGACATGGTGCGCCCCCCACCCCCGCCAAGTGCTGACCTGGGCCCTGGTCCCCAGGAGGCTTCAAGCATCTGTCTACATAAATGAATGTGAGGCCTCGCCCTCAATCTGGCCTGAGGGCTTCTCCCTGGGGCTCGAGAGCCGTGTGGATGTCTCCCTGTCTCAGCTAGTGTCACACTGGACCATAATTTTGCTGTTCCCACAACTGGGAGGTTCTCAGCTCAGTCGATTACATGCCAGCTCTCAGGTCTCGCCCTCGTGTCACCTCCTCAGGGAACCCAAGGGAGGCAAGCCACACCATGCCGGCCCCCACCTCGGGTGTCTCTTCATTTCCTCCCCGGCCCTTGTCAGCAGGTCAGATTCTGTTTGTCCTCCTGTTCATCAATGTCCCCCAGGCCCAGAACAAAAGGCCAGGGAGCGCCCAGCACCAGAAGGCACTCGGTATATCGTGCTGGATGAGGCACTGGGTGAATGTACAGATGCTTGTCGTCCTGTGGCCCCACTCACACTCCTCAAGTCCTTGTGGGAGCCTGTGCTGTCCCCAAGAGACCTCTGCTGTTTCCTCTTCCCAGAGTGCTCCTCCCCAAGCAGAAGCCCTCCTTCTGCATCCTTTTCTCAGGAAGCTCTGCCCTGACCACCCTGTCTGCAACTGTGCCTGCCCCCCGTGTACCGCAGCCCCTCTTCTTGCTTTATTTTTCTCCAAAGCACGTATTCCTTTTCATATACTCCCTAATTATTTATCATTTTCTTTGCTTATTGTCTGTCTCCCCACTAGGCTGTAAGTCTCATGAGAACAGGAATTTTCATATATTTCGTTCATTGAGGTGTCCCCAGTGCCTGGAAAAGAGCATCACATGCAGGTGAACCAAGGCATCCTGGGAAGGGTCTTATCCCTGGGGAGAGGAGCAGAGCACAGGAAGGGGAGAGGGACTGAGACAGAGACTGGGAGGGACCCGAAAGAGACAAGCGTGGAGACTGGGGGTGGGGGGAGAGAAAGAGTGACCAGAAAGAGACAAAGAAGATAACAGAGACAGAGGGTAACAGAGATAAAGAGAGAGCAAGAAAGTCGGAGAGAGACAGTAACAGAGACAGAGAGAGGAAGAGGCGCAGAGAAAGAACAAGCAGGCGTTTAGCTCAATCAAGGCTCACCATTTGCAAAGAAGTGCACCCTCCCTCTGTGCCAGCCTCCCCCAGAACCTTGTTACACCCTGCTACTCCCTCAGTCCTGCTACTTAGCTGAGACCAAGCTGCATTTGGAGGACTGGGAAGAGCCCCTTCTCCTCAGACACCTACTTGAAGTCCCAGTGCCTAGGACTCTGCCCCAGTGTGCTTTCTAGAGAAGCTGCCCACCCCTCCAGCAGGAGTGGGATTCCTTCTGCCAAGGAACAAATGGAGGACAGGCTGCCCGGCAGGGGTTGGGAGGGAAGCTCCCTTTACTGATCTCAAAAGTAGGGGATGGCAGAGAAGGGCACTGCCCCGGCCAGCAGAGCACACACCTAAGATCTGCACAGAAAAGATGCCTCTGCCTGGCCTGTGCTGGGTCCTAGAGACATCCAAACAAGACAGGGTCTTCCCTTGGTGTCTCAGTCTATCATCAGAGACACAGATGGAACTTCCATCTCCCACCCTCTCATGCAACTGAGCAGACCTGAGGGGTGGCCCTGATGGGAGTTTGAAGACCATCAGCCCAACCTCCAAGCCTCTTCAGCCCCACCCTCAGCCATCCCAGGATAATATGACACTTAGGTACAGTGTGCTCTAAGAAGCCCTAGTCCCCTGCCCCCACCACACTGTCAGCCAGGTGGCCACCCTGGGTGGTCATGACACACCACACACCCAGTGCCACAGGGACCCACCCTATGTCCCTACATCCCTACCCATAGAGACCCGGAGACACGAATCCTTACACAACATGAACACACCCACACATGTACCCACAAATGCCCAGGCCAGGCACATATCGACACCCCTACCCACACCATGTAGTCCCACACAACACCATGCTCACATTTCCCAGTGCACACACCACTGGACGGGCCAGACACACACACACGTGCCTCCATGCATACTCACACGCCTCCTGCATACTCGCCTGTTCAGGCCAGAGCCTGCCGCTGTGCACACCAAGACCCCTACGTGCTTTCTTTCCTCAGCCCACACTGGGACCCTGTAGACATTCCCCTGCCCCATCCTCCTTGTCCATCTGGTACCCCCAAGACCCCAAGTGTCTCCAACATGTGCTGAGAACAATAGAAATGGGGTAGTAACTGCAGTAAGCAGGACTGAAGTGATTTTCCTGGTAGAACTTCCTGATGGCAACTGCAGGTGAGAATAGCTGAGTGGGAAAGAACTATAGAACCTGCTCTCCTGGCATCATTTGCAGGATTGGGAGGTCCTCATCTCTAGGAGGCAGAGGGATGGTCCAGATGAATTTCACACTAAGGCATTTTAAAAAGCACTTAAGATTTCATGCCCAGCCTAGGAGGCAAGGAGTGTGGTCATCCCACGTAGAAGCAGCTCGTGATGGTTTGGGGGGCTTAGGGTTGGGGGCACAACAGGCCTGCTGGCCTCTGCATTCCCTCTCATGGCTCTAGCCTCTCCAAATACCCCAAAACTAGAAAAAAATGCAGAAATAAAATTCCCACGTTATGTCTGAGAAAAACAAGAACCAGATAAACTATGTGGCTAGGCCTGCACAGCACAGCAATGGAGTGGTCAAATGTGGTGCACCCCACACCGAGAGACCCCTTACCCCAGCTGAGGGTCCTCCATGTCTGCACAGAGGCTCCTGAAGTCATCGTCCCCTTCTGCCAGTCCACCAGGCCTCCAGGGTCTGGGCTCTGTTGACTCTTCCAGAATGCTTGAGTCTGGTCTCAGGGACAGGCCATTGGTGAGAGAGAGGCCAAGGCTGAGGTCATGGAGGGCCTCATCCAGGTCCTTCGTGGGCTCCTCGGTGTCCACCATAGCACCCCTTTTCTCATGCCCTGGGCTGCTGTTCATCCCATTCTGGACCCAAGGATCCTCTTCAGGCTCTGGGCTGGGGTCCCGAACAGCACCCCCATCCGCAGGCTCTGCAGATGAGAACTTATCCTCATCCATGGCAGCCACTGCTTCTGCCTGTCCGGCTGCTCCTGGACCTCCACTAGACCTGGTGGCAGACGGAGAGATGCAGGAGTGGGTCAGAGGGGGCAGGGCCTGAGGGTCTTCAGTCTACACCAGGGCAACCTGCCCAGGGGCAGGAGGATGGCCAAGATGAACTCCTCCAGCTGGAGGATGGGTTCAGGCATGGCCCCCTCACTGCCCTGCCCTGGCCAGTCCCCTGGTCCTAGCCAGCCCCTCGTTCCCCTGTCCTCCCCACTCTCCATTCCTCTTGTGTCTCTGCTGTGCCCTTCAGAGTTCACCAGAGCCCTCTGAGGAAGACCAGGAAGGGAGGAAGTGGGGCAGGGTCGGGCACCCCTTCCAGTCCCCTTCCATGCCCACTGGTGAGTGATGGACACTCCACAAGCTGACAGGGTCAGCCACTGTCTCTTCTGTGTTCTCTGATCCTGGCTCCAGGAGCCAGAGGTGAGTGACTCTTTGTGGCTAATGGAAAGAGTTAGTTGGGGGGGTTGTCTCTAAGGGAAGTCAAGAGAGGAGTCAAGGAAGTCAACAGAAGTGCAGCTTTATCCTTGCAGGGTCCACCCCGAGAAGCCAAAGCGAAGCCTGGAGACGCTGGGGAGGTCCAGCGTGTGGCGCTGTCCAGGGTGCTAGGCGGGTGCGTTGCCACCGGGAAACCTCATGGAGAGCCCAGGCTGCCTCCACCGCACCCAACAACCAGGGCCCAGGAAGGAGGAGGGGCTGGGGATCCCTCCACTCCCGGGACCCCATCACAGCTCACCCAGCCATGAGGAGGAACTCATGTGGAGGCTGCCAAGGGGCACTCTGGGGGGAGCACTGGAAGGGGAGTCAGATTCTGCTGTGCCCGACTCACTGTGTGCCCCATGCAGGTCCAGGTCGGGCCTCCTCACTGCCCTGCCCAGGCCAGCCCCACTCCCCTTTGGGTCTGTTTCTCTTCTGTGAAATGAGGAAACCCATCTTACCCACCATCTCCACCCCCACCCCTGTTTCAAAGGAGTTGAGACCGGCCCACATTTTCCAGAGGTGTCCTGTCCAACCCAATCCCAGATGGAGGGGACAGATGTACGTGCAATGGGCTGTATTATGGCCCCCCCTCTGCCCCTTGGCCCCACCTAGTCCAGGCTGTCCCCCTCCCCTAGTGTCCTCTTCCAGTGGGGACAGAAACCAGTCCCTCCAAATGCCCTGAAGAGAAGCAGAAGCCCACACATTTCTCCCAGTTCTGGTTGGGCCACCTCCTTCCCCCCTCTTTGGGCCTTGACTGCCCCCCGTCCCCCACCCTCCTCTGGAAAAAGAATGCTGGGGGTCCAGGACAGGCTGGAGGAGGAGAGGGACTGGTCAGCCTTCTAGGCTGCAGAACAAGCTGCAGGTGCAGCAACAGGGATTTAGGTGAGACCCAAACTTCTTATACTTGCCAGATCACAAATACCACCTGAGGTACTTGTTAAAATACAGACTGCCAGGTCCTGGTTCAGACCTCTGAAACCAGAATCTTCAGGGAAGGGATATGGTAATTTGTTACTCTTATAAATAGGCAAGCATGGGAAACACTGAGTTAGACTCCAGGAGAAACTTCCCACTTAGAGGAAATGAGCCTGGGGAGGAAGGTGGATCCATTTCTCCGGGACTTCCAGGCCCTTGAGGGGAACTTGGCCATCACAGGGTCATTAGGACTCATTTAACCTGGGCTCCCAAATGCAGGGTGGAAGAGGACAGGACAGACAGAGTTAGGCCTCCGTTCGTCCGCCCTGATCATCACCTCTTGGAGCTTTGACTGCTGCCGAGAGTAAGAGTGTGCTTAATAAGAACAGCCCACAGATTTTTTTTCCAATCTGAAGTGCAAGGCTCTGGAATATCTGGGCCCTGATCCTAGGACACCGGAGGCCCCTGGGGGTTCAACACTGAGAGATTCTTTATGGTCTGCCCTAAATCTCTGCTGCTGCAGTTGCTATTTCAATCTGTTCCCCCTGGTTGTGTACTCAGAGGAGGGAGAACAAGAGGTCACCTCCTCAGGGCGGAGGGGGATATTTAGAAAGGAAAAAAGAGAGAAAGGGGTGCCTTCTGGCCTGCTGCCTGAGTTCTAGACCTCTGATCTCTGTTATAGCCCAGGGGCCTGGCTGGCTCTGACTCTGGGGCACAGGGCTTCACACATTGAGGGGCTGAGCCCAGGGGGAACCCCCTTGGTTAGGGCTCTGCCTGAGTCCCAGGGAAACCTGAGTCTTGAGAACATAAGTGGCTTCACTTGATGCTCAGTCTACGCCAGCCAAGGGTATGGATAAACCAAGGGCATCTTGGGAGAACCCTTGAGTACCCCAACTTTCAGCAACTGCCTCAGGCTAGCTCCAGCACTGCCTGCCCTGCCATGTCCTCCGGCAACTGGGAGCAGGATGGCAGTCCTGCCAACACCGGGCACTGGGCCGTGTCCTCGGTTTCTGGGGGTGGGCAAACAAGGGGCAGCATTGAGCTCTACTCTGGACAGGGACCCAGAGTCCCCGCCTGGGCTCAGGGCCAGCTGAGCCCAGAAATCACTGAGCCAGGACACCTCTCTTGTTGAGTACAAGGGAGTGGTGTACAGAGAGAAAGTTTTAGGACAGAGGGTAAAACAGCACCCCAAGTCCTCGCTGTGAACCACCCTGTGTCCTGGGACTCGTTGTTCCTCTTTGGCCTTTGTAAGCCCATCTGCAGAATGGGAACATCACCTCTGTTCTCCTCTCCCAAGACTGGCAAGACACAAGGTCAGGAGTGCTGAGAGAGCTGAAGTCCGAGGAAGGCAAACTCACTACAGAAGTCAAGGGCAAGAGGCAGCTATTCTCCTCTCTTTCCACCACCACTTGACAAAAGGGGAGACTGGGGCACAGAACCCCGAAAGACTTGGCATGAGGTCACAGAGGGAGGGGCTGCCAGGAGTAACCTCCTCTGCAACTAGATGGACTGGAGATGTGGGATGAGCCCCAGCTTCCCAGGTCCCCGCCAGAACCCCCATGAGGGCCCTGATCAAGAGCCCAAATCCTCAACCAGGAGAGCCAGTCCAAAGCAGTGACCCTGTCCACCTCCAGCCCTGCTGGCAACAGCCAGGAGGGGGTACAGCTGGGCCAACCGCCCCAAGGAGATGCCTGCAAATGACAGGCTGGCAGTGACAAGGACCCCTGAGACCTCTCCTGGCCTGACCCAGGCCCCTCCAGGCAGGGGCCCTCACGACTCTCGGCTCTTGGGATGACCTTGGGTTCAGCCGCCTCTCTGTTGGCGAGAGCTGAGAGGGGAACCACGATAATAGTGGAACCCTGGCTGGACCAGGGCTGACCACTGAGCCAAGCACTTTCTGGGTCTCAGCTGGTCCTGAGACAACCCTGTCTTCCTCCCCACTCTCCCTGAGGCAGCTGGAGTGAGCTGTAAAAACACAAATCACATCATGCCCCTCCCTCCCTCCTAACGCTGTAACATCTCCCTTAGACTAGAATCCAGTCTCCCGGCGTGGCCCAAAAAGGCCCTGCTGGAGGAGTCACTTCTGCTGCCCTCTCCCCATCAGCCACACTGGCCTTCTTTCTGCTCCCTGAGCTCATTCCTACCTCAGGGCCTTTGCACCAGCTGTACCCTTGGCCTAGAATGCTCTTTCCCTAGATCTTTAAAAGACGGCCTCCTCTGCACTCAGGGATCAACTTCAACACTGCCTCCTCAGGAGGCTCACCTGACCCTCCCAACCCCCACACTCTTCACACCCCTCCACAGGGTGTCATAGCATTGAACAGGATTGAAACTCTCTTTTCTGTTTATTTACCTATTCCCTGGCCATCCCCCTGACCTGACTAGGACATAAGTTTGATAAGGATGGGGACTGTGTCACATTCAAGGCTGAGTCCCCAGAGCCCAATGGCTCACAGTGGGTACTTTAAAAATAAGTGCTGAATGAATGACCGAGAAATTATCACCACCCCCATTGATAACAGTAGCTAAGAAAGGTTGAAGAACATGCTTACAGAACTGGGAAGCACACGGCTGAGATTCAGACGGAATAGGAATCATCATATGGTCCCTCCATGCTGGGATCCAAGCCAGGAATTATGGGGAGACCAGGAATAGGGCTGGGGTGTGGACCTTCAGGGAGGGCTCTGGGATCGGCACGCTTGATAAGACAGGGCGAGTGCACAGGTCCAGGCACCCGTGAACAGGTATACCATCTGTGGGCACAGGCACATGTGCACACGCATACACACATGTGCACACACATGTACACACACATACACGTGTGCACAAAATGCATGCACACAGGCTCACTCAGACACATAAAGCACACGTGGGGGGAACTGGGCAGCCTCTCACAAAGCAGTACTTCTGGCTGGTCAGGTGGGGCTAAAGAGCCTCCAGGCCCAGGGCAAGGTGAAGGACAGCTGGACCCATGTCACCGGGCATCCAAGGTCAAAACCATCCTGCTTCAAGCTGGAGGGTGGGGAAGATGGGCACTCACTCTGACCATAGCCACACACAGAGTGGAGGAGGCCAGGCTGTGGGAGGGACGGGAGCAGAGACCCACCTGGCGGAAGTGGGCTCAGCAGACAGCGCTAGGAGGGGCCCGCAGCGCTGAGCACCCTCTGGAACAGGAATGTCCCAGCCTGTGGGGTGTCCCGGGGTGTGTAGAGCCCAGGCAGGGGCTGTAGAAGGGCCCGGGGATGTCACTGTGGTGACGCTGAGACCATAGCTGTCCCAAAGAGTGAGGCCGGGAGCCAGGACCGTCAGGTTTTGCCTCCAATGGGCTACGATAGCTTAGACAAAGGAAATGCCTCTCTGGCCTCCTCTCTAGACATCAGCGATCCCTAACCAGTTCAGAGGTTGGGCCTCTCTGAGCATCTGATGAACATTCCCTGCAGACTCACGTATGTGCACAACATTGGAAGTATATTTGGGGAGGCTCGAAACCCCTAAGCCCCATCCATAGGCCCTGGACTCCTGCCCAGGGCCTTCCACCCCAACACTGGACACTGGAAAAAGCTTCTCAGGGCTCCTTAGCCAAGAAAGCTAGAAACCTTTCATTCCTGAACCCACCACAGGCCC